GTCATTTTTTATTTTTCTTCTGTTTTTTCTCTCTTCTATTTGGATTGTCTTCCCAGAAGGGTCAGTGTAAATTCTTCTTCGTCAGAAATGAAGTCAACATATTTGAAATTTAATCTTTTATTTTTTTCAGGTTTCTCTTCTATATATCCAGGTTTGACCTTCCTCCTTTCAAGTTTTCCTTTACTAGTTCCAGGCATTTCCTTGTCAACAATATGAGTTTATGAGTCGAGGTGTTTTCTGCTGAGACAGACATGTAAGTATTACCCTGTATAGCTTTATAATCCGCTGTATTTGCTCGCCGTAGCTTTGTTACAAAATCAGTATTGTCTGGTTGTCCTCGTTTTCTACTGTTCCTGTTCCTTATTCTTGTTATACCTTATTCATGTGAACAGTCTCAATGAAATATTTTGGTTAATCTATAACTTAGGCACCAATTATGTCAAAACTACTCATCACTCTAACCAAACATAACAAAAAATCTTAACTGTACAATACTTTTGCTTAACACTACAATAATACAAAAAAAGTATAAACATACCTTTTTATATTCCAAAATCAAGATCCCAACAATAAAACTTAACGCACTTACTTACACGTCACAATAAACATAAACATTACCTATAAATTTCTTTGCGAACACCGTCACTAGCGTAGACTAACTAATACTACTGAAGTTAAGTGATTACCTACAACCAGCGGGCGCGCGCGAATCGAGAAACGATGTGTTCCGACAGGACGCGAGTGCGCTAAGTGTGCTTACAATCACACGCATATTATAAATATTACGTGACTAACCGATATTTACACTACAGTCTCCCAATAGATAATAGTACTAACGTACTCGCTATCGCTAAAACGATTCATACCTTTAGGAAAATGCCTTCCTTATTCTAATAGAAATGTTGTTACTTAATTGTCACAACTTTATTTTCTCTAACAGAATGAAATTTAAAAAAATATATTTAGCAAAAATTGCTACAGCGCCAACCATACTTAAATCTTATGCTTACAGTTTTTCTTAAGCACCAAACGGTTAAAAAATACAGTAATGAATAATAGCTAACAGAATAAGAAATAATACAATTCTAAAATTTAATATTGCTAATGTAACAATGTCATTCAAATTAAGAAAAGAAAAAATACTTATGTTGCTATTGTGAAGAGAATGTAGTAAGGAATAACGTTCTAACGGATCTCTTTACTGAAAATGTGTTTCTAAAGCTATGTCTATTTCAAAAACAAGGGAAAATCGTCGCTTTAGATCTTGGAATTCGGAACATCCCTCAATTTTTACAAATGCTAAAACGCCAAAAACGAAACAAAAAGCAATCCAATAATATAATTAACTCATTTTGGCCCTTTAGCATTTTCTCCTTTCCAGTGACGATATGTAGTTGGTAACCCATACTATTTTGGTGGTTTGACACACGCAGGTATTTACAGATGAGGTATAGGTAGATATCGAATGAACGTCTCGATTCAATATCTCGTTTTATTATTTCTTAATTAGATCGCTAGTTGTTTTAAGCCTTTGAGTATTAAACCAAAGGAGACGGCGTAGTAAGGCATACCCCTCTGTAATGGCCCGGCCACACTAAGGAGAAATGCCATTAATTATCGCGTTGATGGACATTGAATGTAGGTGTGCCAACGAATTAACGCGATAATTTTCAACGGCATTAACAATGCCGTTTCCCGTTTGCCGATAACTCGAGTGGCGGTACATCAAAGGATTAACGCGCGAATTATTGCGTTGAAGCGGCCACACTACGTTTGTCTCATTGTGCACGGTGAGTGCCACGGGGTTGCACGCATGGCTGCGATGGAGTCGAGTAATGAAAAAGTTACAACGTTTCTCGAGATCCTGCAAACAGAGCCATGTTTGTGGGATTCGAGACTTAAAAGTTATAAAAATCGTACATCGCAATATGATTGAATGGAAGATTGACAAGACAATTGAAGAAATTAAAAAGAAAAAGAAAGCCTAATGGTTATTATAGAACCCATTTGAACAAATATAAAAAGTCTTTGAAGTCCGGAGCTGGCACAAAGGACGTATATACAACCAGTTGGTTCGCATTCGAAACGATGGATAGTTTCCTACGAAGGGTTTATGAAAGTAATCACACATTAAATACAGTGGTAAGTATATAAGTACGATATAAGATGGTTCAAAGTGATCATGGTACGAAAATCTCTATTTTGTCATTGACTTCCGGGTCCGAGTATTATTATACAGCACTGATGTTCGGCGCGTTGCTGCTTTTTTGTATTTATTTGAAATTTTAATAAAATTGCATAAATAAAATAGTAATTGTATCAAATGTGCAGTTAAGTTTTAACGCAATGTGTGAAGACAATTACTATTTGAGACAACAGTAAATAAGCGCCAACTTTTATGAGTGTGGATTTCTCACGAGGTGAGTATTTTATCTAACAGAATGCGAAGAACGCAAAAACCTACAATCGATTAAAAGAATCAAATTTTTATGAGGAATATATCTTATTTATGCCACACTCGAAGATCCAGTCTAATCTAAAAACGAAAATGAAGCATTATCGTTTTTGATATATTATATTTTATTTTTTAATTTTACTTATTATGGGATATGCCTATACCTCATCTGTATGATTTTTTAGAAATAATTTTAATGACGATCTATACATGTTTTGGTAATTATGTTAAGTTTGTAAAAATACTACTAAATATCTCTTCATATTACCATTGAAGTATAAATGTACATATTAACGCATATTACTACCAAATTAATATCTTCTATAGTTATAGTTCTAATATATAATTAAAATGCAATTATTAAAGTTTAAAAGAAAGAAATAATGCAATCTTTAAAAAACTTTTAAAATTTTATACACTGTATTGACTGTAAGATTAAAGTCTGTGTTTATATACTTTTTGGTAGCAAACAAAGACTATAATATAGCAGCAAACTAGCAAAATGAAAAAGCATAAACTTATACTTGCAAAGTAGCTAGACTAGACTGGACTAGACAAAACTAGTAGATTTAGATCAAAGTGTATATTTATTTATTTATTTTATTCTTTATTGCACCAAAGATTTTGTACAAAAGTCGAGCTTAGTGCTATATGGCATTCTCTACCAGCTAACCTTGGGTAGAACAGAGAGTGAGTTATGGGCAGTAAAGGTGTCATGATCTCATTCAATTCAAAATGTACATGCTACACATACATGTAATATATATACACATATATATTATATACACTTACACACACATACATATGTATATAAATATATACAAATATATATATATATATATATATATATATATATATATATATATATATATATATTAAATATATATCTCCATAAATTTATATACAAATAACTATAAACATATAAAGTAAGTGGACTCAAATTTGTTGGTTACGGATATATTCGTATAGTTTTCTTTTCAACACGTTTTAGCAGGTATTATGCGCAGGTCAACAGGCAATTTGTTCCAGAGGGAGATGGAAGTTAATGTGAAAGAATTTGACATAAACCCAGAATGGTGGAGAGGAGTAGACAGTAATAAATTGTGTGAAGACCGGAGATTGAGAGAATGAGTGTCACTACGGAATTGGAATCTTTCTTTAAGGTAAAGGGGTGAGGAAGAATCATTAAGAACTGAAAATAGAGAGGACAGCATTTGAAAATCTCTGCGCTGGCGTATAGTCAACCACTTTAATTGGGAGCGATATTCTGATACGTGATCGTATTTGCGCAGACCAAAGATGAATCGTATGCAGTTGTTAAGTAACCTGTCCAACCTGCTTAGCAGCTCCTGAGAGATATTAGAAAGACAAACATCGGCATAGTCAAATAATGGAAGAATTAGAGATTTGATGAGTAGAAGCTTAGTTGAAGGAGGCAGTATAGTAACTGTCTAGGTATTTAGAGTGAAAAAGTGTCATAGGTATTATTGATACAAACTGTGTTTGTGTTTGAAAAAGTTCGTATTTTATATTTGAAATTGTAGTAAGTAGTTAATTCTTATTAAAATAAATAAAAGTAAATAAAGCGTAATAAGTAGTTTTTCAGTCCACTATAATGTAATAAGGTTTATTTATCAATATTTTATTAATCATAATATATATATACCTAACCAATATTCCTCTTTTGTATTTACAATATATCTTTGTAATAAAAATGTTTCGTAGTTTTATTGATTGAATATTTTAATTTTAAAAATGTAGGGTTCTACTAATAAGGGGTGATCCTTGACAGGGGGTTCACAGTTCACACCAAGCTCACCACCATCTTCTCTAATAATAAAATATAGATGAAAATATGTACAGTGATATTATGCATTGTGTTTTTGTTATCCAAACAAATCCAGTTCAAAACAACTAAATTGTTATTTATATGTTATTGTTTAAAATCGTAAATAGGTATGCAGTTTTAAACATATTAAAACAAAGTCTTGACATCGCGCCTGTCTGGTTGTCTTTTAATCTTTTTTCGTTTGTACTTTTAAGAAACTACTTAGGAAATAATGATTTACAATAATAAATGCAGTGGCATAAGAATATCTTTTTCATAATCTTCATCATATAGAGTGTAGGTAATATTATGAATGACTTTAATCTTCTTTCAGACAAACGAAGACAATGAGTCCCAAAAAAGAAGTGAGGGAAAAAATGACGAAAATGAGAACAGCCCTCATTTGTCTTCAGAAATAGAAAACACTTCGCCAAATATATAAAGAGGACATAGAACTCGTCCAAGAGAAGATAGAACTTCGCAGAATATACAAGGAGGAAACAGAAGTCGTCCAAGATATAATAAAACTTCTCAAGATTATGGTAGAAAAAGACAACTGAGAGACGATTTGCCTCCTGAAATCATAGCAGCGCGACGTCAAATGGAAGAAGCATTTGATTTCATAAAAGTGAAGAAAGGCGATGAATATGAGATGTTCGAAAGGCTGATCGCAAGTAAAATAAAAAAAATAGTAATCCAAACACGCGTGATTTTTTAATGAATGATATTTACAATTTAGTATTTCGCACGTGTATGGCAGATCGACTTGAACAACAGTCTTTAGTTCCTCAATTTCCCACATCCCAGACTCCACATCATCAAGTATTGCGTCCATCACCAAATCCGTCCACACACCAGTCACCTTCAGGTCAATCCACATCCCATTCTCTACACCATCAAGTATTCAGTCCACCACCAAATCCATTCACACACCAGTCACCTCCAGGCCAATCCACATCCCATTCTCCACACAATCAAGTATTCAGTCCATCACCAAATCCGTTCACACACCAGTCACCTCCAGGCCAATCCACATCACATTCATCACAATATCAAGTATTCAGTCCAATACCAAATCCGTTCACGTACCAGTCACTTCCAGTTCCTTCCACATCTCAGACTCCACACCATCAAGTATTCAGTCCATCATCAAATCCGTCCAAATACCAGTCACTTCCACACCACAAAACAAACAGTTCATCATCACCTCTAGATCACTTCCCAGTTCAAACTTCCCAAGAAAATTTTCTAGAATCAGCACGATAATAGCAGTAGTCATAACAGATACCGGTAAAATAAAGATAATTAAAAATTGAAAAATTATTTTCGTTAATATCTTCAAAAATAAATAAATGAAAGACATAAATACAAGGTATGTTTTTTATTTCCCAAAGTATAACAATTTTATGTGACGGGCAGTTATAATGAAATTACATAATAATATTTAAAAAATGCAATTATATTCTTTACTGTTTATCAACCAATCAACAAGTCGATTGGTGTCTTAAATATTAAAACTCATTTATTTCTATTGGCGGCGCTATTGTGCCGTCTGAGCGTCATACCTTGCAACTAATTCATGTCCTTGAAATGTTCTGCGAAATTATTTCGAACCTCGATTGCTGTTAAAGCTGAACGTCGTGCAATATTGCTCATTGACCTGAAAGCGCCTTCGCCTTGTCCAATATCTTGTCTCCAAGTTCCTGAGTTTATTATTTCTCCGTTGACAATTGTGTCAATGTAGCCCGATGGGGAGTAAATGGATCGAGAGTTACAACTTTTTCTTAAAAAATTATGTAGTAAAGCACATGCCATTACAACTTTTAAAGCTTCGTTTGGTTGTAGAGTTATAGGTTTTCTAAGTACTCGAAACCGGGTTGACATAACACCAAATGTATTCTCCACAACAATACGAACAGAAGAAAGTTTACGATTAAAATTTCGTTCCATACTTCCTTGGGAGTGTTGGACAGGAAAAGGTTTGATTATGTTGGGATGCAATGGAAATGCATTGTCAGCAACAAAAATATAGGGCACATTTACATTGCCATCAGAAAGTGGTTTAGGTTGTGGTAAATGCAAGGAATTCGTCTGAAGTTTTTCAAATAAAACGCTATCTCTGAATACACCACCATTGCTGATTCTACCCTTGTTTCCGACATCGCAAAACATAAAACAAAAATTGCGATCCACCAAGGCCATCATAACAATACTGAATAAATGCTTATAATTAAAATATTCAGACGCACTGTGAGTCGGTGATACCATGGCAACATGTTTACCATCGATTGCTCCCAAGCAATGCGGAAATGTATCTTTAAACTGAGATTCTTTTTGTAGCCATTCATTTTCGTTCTCAGGTAACTTGATCATATCCTTCAATACAGATATGAGAGCAGCACAACATTCCTTTACAATATTGGAAATTACTTGGTGAGACATATTGAACAAATAGTGTAAGCTCCTATAGCTATCTCCTGTAGCTAAATATCGTAAAGTAACTGCTAGTCGAATTTTGGCAGGTATAGTTTCACGAAATTTAGTTTTTTGTTTTTTTATCAAAGGCCCAACTCTGCTAAGAAGTAATTCGAAGTCAGTTGCTGACATTCGAAAGAATCCCTGAAACTGATTGGTTGGTTCTGCTAGTAGGTCGGAAAATATTTCCTCCATTGTGTTCGTGCAAAATATATAAAAATTGAAATAAAAAAATTACTTCAAAAGTTCACTTTAATTTACGGTATGAGAGAAATAAGAATTAGCAGGAGCAAAAAAAAAAAACAATTTTTGCAGGTCGTAATACATAGTGTATAGTAATACTAAACCCTGGGTGCATGTATTTAATTTGAACTTGACCAGTATTTATGCTTGGTTTATTAGTTATTACTTTATTAAAATATATTTACGTTTGTCTTAACCATTGGACGGCTTTCTAATGCAATTTGGGTGCGGAAAAAAAAAGGAATTTAAATTAATAAACATAAATAGATTTACAGTGTACGTTTCCTGTGCATCTGTAGCATCCACCATCTTCTTTTTCTTTGTATTCTTTTTTCTTTGTTTGGCAATGATAAAATATATTCATATAATAAAAATTTACACTCATCAAATATAGAGTAGCTGCGTCAACGTCCATCTTGCTTGAAATTCAAGGAACATTAAAAACATTTAACGCTGTTCAACGGCAAATTTAATGCTGTTCAACGGGAAACGACGTTGACCGTTCAAGTGTAGCCACTCATTTTATCGCGTTAAATTTAAACAATAATTGTTGCGTTTATGGGCATTGACGTTGCTCCTTATTGCTCGTTAGTGTAGCCGCAGCATTAGTGTAGCCGCAGCATAAAAGGTACGAGAGTTCGACTCATACCCGTTATATAAAATTAGTTGCTCCGCGTCGTGCGCCATTCCGAAGTGATCGTGCCAGTAAATCAAGCTCCGACAAAATGCCGAATTACAGTGTATTTACATGAATGAAAACAATAAAAAACGTCAAATATACAAAAGAATAACGAGACTTTTCATCTGTAAGTATTTTTAACATAATATTAAGGTAATATTATCATTAAGACTCGTACTTTCTGAATATTTTCGTGCAATACCGAGTGTGGCCATCATAGTTCATAAAGTGAAAAATAATCTATTTTTAAATAAATATAATTTACTACACAAGTTATGTATATTAACGAAGATATATTTCCTAATAACTAAATCAGTTTGTGATGAATAATAATCATTACATATAGATGTGTAGTGGATTTTGTTAAATGATTTATATATTCAGCTCCATTTCAGCACGATACTGAGTGTTATACAATTAAATATAATCGATAACTAGTATTTATTAAAATATTATACAAAACACAGGCCAAATAAGTGAAATGGAAACTTGCTACCTCGCAGCAAAAGTGTGCTATTTTTATAAAAATAAACTGGTATCACTGCAACCGAATATATTGCACTATAGTAATGAACACCACAACTTTAGCTATCGATAAGTTAATTAACCATACGGGTTTGTCTGCCGAATCGGTTTGTAGTTTTTATTTAGATTTTATAATAAAATATTACAAAAAGTAGTAAATTTTTCTATTATTGGTTTGTTTTTAAAGACTTCCAAGAGATCCTTTTAGGCGGCAAATTTGGATTGCAGCTTGTAGACACCATGAATCTTGAATACCTAAACGGACTAAGCACCATTTGCTTCAAATATTTTTTAAAATCATATTTCACACCCCAAGCTTACAATAAGAAGGTTAGCTGACACTACAGTACCAACTTTGAACTTGTAATTGTAATTGTAAAAAAAGGGGGTAATGTTTGCCTGTAATTATATTTAGATTAAATATTTTTATTATAACCTTTTACACCAATATTATTCTACTTGAAAATATTTAGTCGGCCATCACTTGTACAGTACCACTTTGTTATATTATGTGATGAAGGCAGACCAATTTCAAAACTTTTGATATCTTACACATATCGTTAAGCTTTCGGTAAATAGTAATGTAAAGTTAAAGCAAAACATCTTTCTGGGGAATAATTAGCCCTAGGTTGTCTGCTTAAAGTTCACTTTATTAAACTATTATATAGTGTAAAACTTTTTTTCCTATTTTATTAAATATTTTCAAGATAGTTCATTTAATAACTCTTGAAAATCAACAACTTTTTTAAATAGCGGTTTTGTGTTTGAAGTCTTATAATAAAACAAAAATTTGCTTAACACTATCTAAGACGATAAACTGATAGGACTTTTCTTTTCACAAATCTGATTTTTTTAAAAAGTCAACTAAACCTCCTATTTCGATTTGTTAAATGATTTAAATTTTATCCTGTATAATGTAAAATAAACCTGTAGCAAAATAATAGACTTATTTTCAATAATTTCAAAGTTTATTTCCGAAGATCATTTCTAAATACTTTAAAAAAAGAATTTCAAATAACACCTTGTATTAGTTATAATCAAATAAAAACTTATGCGGACTATGGTGATTTGTTTATCGACATAGTCCACGCCTTACGCAGCGCATCAGTGTATCGACACGTGTACAATTTGATGGTATGCGTAAACGTGATGAACACAAACACAAATGCTGTAATTTTGCATTTGTAGTTAAGTATACAGTTGTGTGTTATTCTTGCGTCCCCCAGATCTTGCCAGAATTTTTGTTTAGGAATTAACGCGCATGGCCTCTCCAGTTGGTTGAATACTCAAAGTTTTAAGCGTATTATTTGTAGGGTCCATTATGACCTTTCTGTATGTACTTTCATCCGACAAAAGTGTATTTTAAAGTTGTGACCGTGGGTGCTGGAAATCACTCGAAACGTCGGGAATTAAAAATCAAGAAATTAAACGCGATAAAATCCTTAAAAGTAGTTTTAATCAACGTTTAGTGTTCGCGTAAATATAAGAAATCATTAGTTGTTATGTTGTTGTTTTTCATTTATTTTTTGTTTATGTAATGATTGAATGATTACCCAAACAAAATAATTTTCAAGCATCTTCATCGTCAGAAAACCTTCTACGAATATTTAAGTTTAAGAAATAAAAAGATTTTTTTTTCACTTTTTAATTTAAAATAACGAAATGTTGTGTATGCCATTATAAAAAATGAATAGAATAGCCTTTCCAGCTCTCAAAATGAAAATTTATCTCAATTATTACACACAATATCAGCAATAAATCAATTTTCATTGTTATTTACAACACCGTACAATAAAACTTTAATAAAGTTTAAATACTGTGTAATAAATCTAATTTGAACATGAACATTATTAATTAATAAATTACATTGTATTAAAGTTCTGACAGTGAATGTGATGTTATTCGTGCCAGGCCTATATTCAGCAGTAGACTTGTGATGATATTTAATGATTTGAAGCAATCACATAAATGTCATATGTAGCGAGATTTTGGTCAAGCAAATGGAATATGTGACACTACTGAATGATGATTACAATCGCTTAGGCTTTTTGAAAACAATAAGAATAAAGTATTATGGATAGTGCTAGTAATATGTTGTATTTCTTGGATATAAAATAAAACTGCATAAATAGTTATGAACTATATATTGTTAGTGGTACCAAAGTACACAAAGACCTCTTCTGTCGTCGAGCTGCGAACGCACCTTGGTACGTCCGTAATGCCGACCTTCATCGGGACTTAGAGCTCCCAACAATTCAACAATTCCCTAAAAAACTCTCTGAGAACTTCTTCAAAGTCTCAGAGTCGCACCCAAATCAATTAATTCGTGAGGCAGCTTCTTATG